AAAAAAAAAGAAATTTGCAGTATTTTGGTGTAGATATGGCAACTTCGTGAATCAAAAAAAGGAAAATTTTTGCTTTTTCAAGGACAAAATTGCAAAAGACTGTTTCGACTTTATATTTTTCAAGCTAATTTGGAAAAGTGGTACGGACATTATTGGCAACCCCCTTAAACATTTGCTCTAAACGAATGGTGTAATCCTCGAAATGCGTGAGATGCTGCAGGCGCTCAGTGCATGAAGCAAGGAAGTGGACTTGAAAATTAATGTATCTAGAGCGGAACTGTTCTATCATGAATTAAGAAAAATAAAACTAGATCTAGAACTATCATGTGAAAGAAAATCAAAACAAACATAAAGTCCTAAAAATTCGATATTCGAGCAAATGGACTCAAAAAATAGGAGTTCCATTCTGTGAAACACTCTTCATTGTAACAGTGTTCTGATCTATCTGATTGCCGACCGGCGACTTTTTAGGAATAAATTATTTCCAGGAAATTCCGTTGACACCACCAGCGCTGCTGGAGCAGCAGATACGCCACATGCGGCTAGTTCTTATACCGGAGGAGCAGCGGGTGGCGGAGGAACATGCTGCAGCTGTGGCGCAGGACCTGCAGGACCACCAGGACCGCCAGGGCCAGATGGATTGGACGGTTTGTTTATTCTTAAAAAATAATAGGATTCTTAGAAACTGGCCATCATTTCTCCGAGAAATCGCCAACATTGGAATGCTTTCCGAAGAGATTATCATACATACCGGAAAAGCGGGTACTAACTGAGGCATGCAGCCCAGGACCGAAGAAACTGCGCATTCCAGTAACATCATTAACATGGGATACTAACCCTGAGTGATCATAACCATATTTCAAACCCGATTGGCGGCTGACTAGGAGAACTCTTTGTTGGAAACATCAATTGGATTCATTTTCCACGGTCTTCGAAAATTTGTCAAGACAACATCAGCTGGCAAAAATACCGAAAAAAGTAAAATCAAGTACGGTCCTCGTAGCTGAGATTTGCTGCCTCCGGGAAATCTTGTTAAGAGGGAACTAGCAATTTCCAGGAAGAGCAATTTCAACGCTACTTTTTTGCTTGCAGGTACTGATGGAGCTCCCGGAACTGATGGTGCACCAGGAAAAGATGCTGAAGCTAGCGCATTGCCCAGACCAGAAGATTTCTGCTTCGACTGCCCTCCAGGGCCACCAGGGCCACCTGGAGCTGCAGGACCAAAAGGAGCACCAGGACCACCAGGAGAAAGTGGATCTAGCGGTGGAGCAGAACTGCCAGGGCCTCCTGGTCCGCCTGGGCCACCGGGACCACCTGGGGAGCCTGGGCCTGCTGGTCCACCAGGACCGGATGGCGTGCCTGGTATCCTCAATGAGGTACCTGGTCCACAAGGGCCACCAGGGCCATCTGGTCCGGTTGGATTACCCGGCAACGTTGGGTTACCTGGTACAAACGGAAGACCGGGACCGGTCGGTCCTATCGGGCCACCCGGTGATCCGGGTCCGCAAGGTGTTCCTGGAATAAACGGGTCGCCGGGTGAACCTGGATTAGCTGGTGGCCAAGGTAGCCATGGCTCATGTGAACATTGCCCGCCACCACGAACTGCTCCCGGTTATTAGCACTGTCTTATCTTCACTATTCTTGTTGTTTTTCAACATTTCTACAAAATTCCAAGTAACACGTACGGCTGTTGAATTAAATTTTTATAAAAAAAAA